CTTTCCCGGTGCTGCGTTCGTCTTCCTGAGTTTGATTGTCAAACAGTTTGTGATTTCCTGTTTTACTTTGAAGTTCTGTGTCTCGTCATGTCCATTAGGTTCACCTGTGTGTTCCTCCTGTGTGTCATTTCCTGATTACCTTGTTTCTGTACTTATAGTGTGCGTCTACCTCTTCTCCTGATGGGTTTGTCTGTGTAACTCTGTGTAATTTGGTAACCTCCATGTCTCTCTGCTTTCCATTCTCCGCTCTTCATCCCCTGTGTCATTTCCATAGGTTTTTTTCCTTGCGTGTTATTCTGTGAGTTATGTTTCGGGGTTTGTTTTTTATTAGCTTCTCCAGTTTAGGTTTATATTTGGTTCTGTCCTCGCCAGTCCCGTGTTTGTTGGTTATTCCCTACTGTAAATAAAAGCTCACTCATTATAGATGTTTTAAGGCTGTAAAACCCCTACCTACACACTTTATACACTTTTCTCACACAGGCATGAACGCTTTCACACTTTTCTCTCTCAAGGTTCAAACCCACGTAGAAAAACAAGTCCTGTATTTTAAAATCAAACCAAAGCTTAAACGCTTTTTTCAGGTCCAGAACATGGGAACAGAGCAGATGCCAGAGAATTCAACATTAAGGAATCAATGATATGGAAGTAGAGGAAGCAAGAAGAATGAGTTGAGTAAAGTTTGACTTATCTGATTGTTTCATTTTGCTTAATGTGCCTTATAATCTGATGTGCCTTATGGTCCACAAAATATAGTAACTTCTACCTTCCTTTAGCATGTCCAGAAGTCCAGCTTTTTGTGCGATGGTTAGCATCTTCCCCTGTAAAACTGCATGAAAAATTGCACAAGAAATCGAAGCAAAAGCAAGGACACGCAAGGTGAACTGCATTCTAGTGAGGGACCACTTCCCAGAAAGATAACTTCATTTTGATTGGCCAGTTTCAGGAAACATGCTGCTTCACCTCCTCTGTGTTCCGATGCAGAGGTTGTGAAAACAAACTGTAAACCTACTATAGACATAATTTCTAGCTGAGGACTGAAAATTTCAACAAAGATGATGCCAGGACATCATTTTATGGTAAATAATACATTCATAAACTGGTTAGTAGGGAACAGTCTTTTAAACAGTGACCATATAAAAGTAACTTTCAAAAGTTGTTTATTGTAGTTTCCCAATAAACCATGTCATTCCCTGTTCTGCTGTATTTTCTACCAACATTTAGCTAAGCTCTACAATATAAAATAGAAAAGAAAACAAGATATCACCTCAAAGTTTCTAGTTTACAATGTGGAATCTTCAGTTCAGCAGACAGAAGTGTCACTCCTGGATCCTTCAGGTCATTGTTACTTAGGTCCAGCTCTCTCAGACTAGAGGACTTGGAGCTGAGAACTGAGGAAAGAGCTTCACAGCTTCTCTCTGAGAGGTTACAACCACTAATTCTGAAAAACAATTTGTACTAAAATAAAAACAATTTATTTGTTGATTAAGACAACAAAAAGAAATATGTTGGTATGCAATATAATTCATTTAGCATAAATGATTAAATTATTTATTTCTTTTTCAGTGAAATGTGGAATGCTCTTGGTAAAAGTAATTGTAACTCAATATGTAAATGATCGATTGTCAGACTGGGGTGGTGGTTCCCATGTTTAAGAAGGGGTTTGTGTTCCAACTATATGGGGATCACACTCCTCATGCTCCGTGGGATAGTCAATCCCAG